ACTTTGATATTTGAGCCCTACTGTGTCTCCATTTCAGGGAGAAAGAGGCAACATTGGTCCACCAGGTTCAAAGGTGGGAAATTCATTTAACTTGATCTAAAACCTGTCGTTTCTTCCTCTTAGTTTCCTTTCTTCTCATAATGCACTCAGGGAATAATGAACATTTCTTGCTGTGTCAGCATATTAAAGCCCAGGGAGGCTTATCTGGAAAAACAGAAGCCTTTGTCAGTTAAATTGTGATCAACAGGAGCCAGTGTAACCTGCTGCTTAAGACTTCTGTTTAAAATACTGTCAAAATTGCATTTAAAATCCTCAGGTGCATGATGCCATAGTGTTTTGTGAGGCCATTTACTTTTTCACGAGAACGAAAATGAAAAACAGCAAAGCTTATATAAAAAACTAAGCTCCACGTGCCTCCTGACTCCTTAATATCACAGTGTGTAGCTAGCACCCCACACCAGAGCCCTGCCCCCATGACTCACGTCTGTGGCACGGTAGTAGATTCATGCCATGTTGTGCAGAGGCCTCAGGAGCACAACCCCTATCCGGTGTTCAGCACAGAGGCCACCGTTATTGCCTATTTCTGTGCTAGAACTCAGGAGGCACAAGATTATAGAAATGGTGGCTGGAAGGACCTCCAGAGGTCATCTAGTCCAACATCATACTCCAAGTGTTACACCAACACTAGATCACATCCGCAATGGATTTGTCTCACCAAGCCTCGACTACCTGCAGGGAGGTTCCAAAAAACCCTGTAGGTATCTTGTTCTGGTATTTCACTATCCTCTTTGGAAAGACAGTTTCCCTAACAGGCAGCCTGTACCTCCTAAACTGTAATTTGCCCCACCTGTCTAACTCACCCCATGCACCAGTGTGCAACCGAGACCTGCAGCTCTGAATCAGTGCAGTTTTTAGACAGGAGACCCCATTTGACAGGGAAACCTGTTACTTTACACTGCTTTACACAGTGTTTGAATTGAAATGAATGGAGCTGGAGTCCATTCTTTCGTCTCCAGTCTTCCCTATCATTATCCCTGTCTATTCTGGTTTGGAGCCCACCCCAAAGCTTCTGTCTGTATTTGTGCTGCTTTTTGCCAGTCCCTGGCTGACTTGCGTGCCTTTTGCATGCATAAGCCAGCAGAGGGCGGTGCTGGGACTCAAATAAAAAATAAAATAATAAAATAAAATAAAATAAAACAAAAGCTTCTCTTGCATTTGGGACAGTACTGGAATCAAGAGTTGCTCTAGGAAACAAGATAAAAGCAATTACATATCTACCCTTCTGCTTGCTGAATATTTACAGAAGTATTATCACAGTCTTGTAGTAGCATCTGCTTGTTTATTTAAAAAAAAAAACAAACAACAATGTAGCAGGACACTGCTTGCCATAAATTCCATCTGCTGTACATATTTTGAGATATTTGTCAGCACAATAATTGAAGCTGATGCATTGATGCATAGGACAGTTGTTTAACTCTTTGTTTTGTTCTGTTTGAGACTATATATTATTTTCTTAATTATTATACATACAGATGCTTTGTTCTATGTCCTTGTTCTAGTAATTACTATTATTGATGTGATAGATACATTTCAAACACATGCGTATATTGTAAATGGAGTAACTACAGTGCTATTTGAAAATAATCTCTCTCTTCAATCCTCAGATTAAAAAAGGTCTCAGCCCTCTTACGTTTGAGCAATGAGCTATATTCTTAAAATATAGAGGGAGTTAGAAATAAGAGTGTCTCCTGATACATTATTTCCTGAAAAACATCTTACCTATCCTGCATCTTTTCTTCCAAATTAAATTTCATCAGGAAAATCAATTGGTGAAATTATTAAGCATTTGTAATAGTAGGAAGCTGATCTGCAGGTACCAACATGCCTGAAATGACAGCATTCTGTTGCAGAAAAGCTGTTGGTCCAAGGTTATTTCCTCTGCCGAATTGCCTTTGCTGCAGATAGATACATATAATTTTCCACAAGCACAGAGAGACTTAAGTCCCAATTACCATTTTTACTAGTTATGTAGGTACCTAAATCCCAGTAGTTGCTTGGGTGCCTAAATCCTATTAGCATTCAGAGACACCTTTTATCCTGCACTTGTCTATAAAATGAAAATTAGAGTGTTTCAGAAATTATACTCTGTCATTTTTAATCTTGATAAACTAAGTGTGTATTCCTGAGCCACATGCTTTGCTGATAACAGACAAACAATAGAAATAACAGTGAGAATATCTTTTCTTAATGAAGTGGACACATTAAATCTTTTGCGCTGATGATTCTGTAGAAAGGAATAAGAAGAGAGAGGATTTTACATCCTATGAACTGTTAATTTGAATTTCTTCTATCACACCGGAAATGCAGCAGAGAAGACCATTTGACTTTGGATGTTTGAAAATGCTGATGTTCTTTAAGACAGTCCTGTAGCGTATAGATAATTCTCAGTGGTTTTATTGGGCCACATCCATCCCAGTATCCTGTCTCCAACAATGTCAAAAGCATATGCAGTTTGAGCAGATACTTAGATGCAATTTGACCTTATAAAAGAGCAAGTATTATATCATAGTTCCCTTAAGTGACCTCCTAGACTCCAACAATTTGTAACTCAGGGACTTTCTCAGCTAGAAATGGCATCTGAACCACAATCAGATCTCTTCAAGTGAACTTGATGTCTCCCTGGGAGCTTATGCAAACTTCTGCAATTTACAAGACCTTGGGGCAAGGTGGTCTGCCAACTTAACTACACATCCCATTAACCTCTTCCAGCTATTTTCATTTGATGCCCACTATTTCTCCTATTAGAAGTGTGAGTTCTTAACTACTCTCTGCTTTTAGAAGCCTCTACAATATTCTTCACTCACCTCTTCATTTGTTTGTTTTCCAAGCTAAAGAGTCATAGCTTACACCATCATGTCTCATGCAGAAGCCATCCTGTACCTTTCATTATTCTCATTGACCTTTTCTGAAGTTTTTCTATTTCCACTAGATCCTTTTCAAGATGGAAACTGTGAACAAACCAATGCACAAAATTCAAGTTATGGGCATAAAATAAGTATATACAGTGGCATAGTAATGTTCAGTGCTCTTGTTTTCCTGTCCCTTTTATGATAATTTCTTGTATTCAGCTACTGAGCTGACCTTTTAACGGAATTGTCTCTGTCCACTAGATTTTCATGGTACTATCTACTGTAAAAGCCCAAAAATATTTTCTTGAAGTAGAAAAAAAGTAAGAACCAAAACAACCTTTTTCTAAAAAAAAAAAAACCAAAGCACTCCCCCTCCCCCCAAAAAAAACCCAAACCAAGCAACCAAAAAAACCATCAACCAAACAAGCAAACAAACAAAAAAATAGCCCCACTACTAAAGCAAAAGAGGGCTAATCTGTCACTTGGATGAATCATCAGGCTGTTCTGTGTCATTTCCTTTGCTCTTTCATATGATACAGAGGAAAACAGATGCAGAAAATGTAGTTCACTGTTTATCTGGTCCTTTAAGAATTCAGTCTTCTTTTATCTGTTTTTCTCTGGGCAAACTGCATCATCATTACTGAGTGATACTTCTATTTTCCCATAGAATGGAGTAACTGATCCGATTATTAGCAGTAATAATCAGTCCTGCATTGAACTAGAACAGGGGCTATCAAACTTTTTGCCCCACATACCAACTCCCATCTGCATTAAATGCCTCTTCCTCCTCTTCCTCCAGCCTGAGAGTCACTTAACTGAAGGGTGGAAATAACCCACAAAATGTATCTTGGGGGAAAGCAACAGAAGTCACCCTTCTGTTAAGTGGAGGTGGGACCAGTGGAGAAGAATGATTGCAGCTGCATGAAAAAATCTGGCTCTGGCGAGGGGGAAACAGCAGGAGGAGTGGAGAGAGCAAAGGACTAGTGAGATGATGCTGACTCCACGGAAGCCTCCACAGACCTGCCCCCTAGTCCATTCAGAACCCCTACTGTGGCCCTCCCAAGAGTGGTAGCCTACTGCTTGTATGAAACTGAATACAATTTAGAGAGAGTAACAGTATGTCTGTTGTGGCAGGGAATGCCGGGTACAGATGGAAAACCAGGTTTTCCTGGCATTGCTGGACGTCCCGGAGGTGTGGTGAGTACGGCTGTCATAATCTTGTGATCACCTAACACACACTGGCTCCCAAACCTATGTCTTAAGGATCAGCAGGAGCCCTAACAGTACTTGCTAGCAGCATGTGAAGAGCTGGGCCTTGGTTTGTCTTACTTAATCTGCAGCAGTTACCTCAGATACCAAACACAGGAGCAGCATGGACCTTGATCTTGCCTCTCTCATCAGTCAGAAGTGACACAGGCGTCACCAGAGGCTAGTTCCAATTCTTCGACACTCCCTTTGCTTTTAATTATTCAGAAATCAGCTCTGCTTTTGATTAGAGGCAAGCCAACATGCCCATAGGTGATTTCAATATATTTCTCATGCTAAAGAGCCATGAGTATTACAGATCTTTAAGCTGGGAAGTCCCACAGCTCATTCCCTGTCACCTTCCTCTCACTCATGCCAGGACCAGCTGTCTGCGTCCCCAGCACAGTGAGTTGTATCAAGGGACTGATCAAGCTTATAAATAATCTGCCTGAAAAATGACTGTTTAGCTCACATGTGTTCCCCTGCCCAGTCCACTGGGCAATCCTGGACATAACTGGGGTGGTTAATGCTGAAAAAAGAAGGAGCAGCCAGTGCGGTGAAAGAAAGGCTTGGTGAATTAATCCCCAACTGACAAAATGTTGTGTGCCCATTTGCTTCTGTTAATCTGTGAACTCTGTCAAATGTGCTGGAAAATACTTTCAAACATCAAATCCTCAGAGGGTCTGAGTTGAAACCTGTTGGCCCCATCTGTGGTTTGAGAGAGCTGGGGATCGATCATTCCATACCTGCATTTTATTGTTGTGCTTTTGGGAAGCTAGAGAAAGCACATTTTCACATTTTTTTTCCTTTTGAATCATTTATGGTCATTTTTTTTATCACATGCAGGGTCCAAAAGGGGAGAAAGGTGACCCAGGACCTCAGGTGAGATTGTGTGGATTTTATTCTTTCTGATAAACCTATGTGAAATGTAGTACTTAGTAAATGGGTTTTCCACCTGTAATGTTTTTGAAATAGGGTGAACCAGGACAGGACGGGAACAGTATTGTGGGACCACCTGGACCACCAGGACCACCAGGACCAATCATAGCAATACCTGAGGTAAGCGTGTTTGTCAAGCATTAAAGCCTCTATAACTCATCTTACAGAGAAGAGGACACAACTGGTTAACAAATTGGCAATTCTGCTGTTGATATTCAGGTCATAAGTCTACTCCTCAAAACACAAAGAATCTCAATATGTCCCTATATCAAATGTATTTGTTTCGAAAAGATGAAATAAGAAGGAAAGTGGGTGAAGAGCTTACATACAAGAATTACAGGGTCATATTGAGTGCTTCTCACAAACTCTTCTGCAGGATTCTGCAGGAGTTGTGAAGGTCAAATAAAAATCAACAGAGAAATACAAAACTGGGAATGTTTAACAATGCAGAGCACATGAGACACAGCAGTATGTAGAAGAGAGACACACTGTGTTTTCTGACTCTGTTGTGGAAGCACAAGACAAAAGTACCAAAGGGTAAAATGCTAGAAGTTCATAAAAACTGTCCAATATCCTTTAGCTGCATGTATATTTTCAGTCAGTTTTGCTTTATGTATACAAGCCTTTGCAAAAACAATACTAGTTAGCAGAAATGAATCACATTTCAAGCTGACAACAAAAATCCTTGTAGTTGGCCTGATATGACTTTAAGAACTGGAGAAGCTGTGAGCGGCTGCAGGAAATTCTTCACCTCTGAGAGCTGAAGGTGCTTAAAACAGCCAGACTCATCCATAGGGTTGCATATAATGGCAGTAAGAAGTGATTTCTGTTTGCAAGAAAGGAAAATGACTAGATGAGAAATCTGTGTTAGGGGGAGCTGGGCACCAACACTACCATAAAGCTGAGCTACACGTAACAATTTTGTTGACTGAAACAACTAGGCTTTCACTTTGCTACTGATAGCAAATATGGCATAAATTGGTCCAAAAGAGTTCGGTTGTTTTGCTGAATTTACTTGGTATCCACCCAGAATCTTAGGATCCAAGACCCTAAGATCTTGGATGAGCAAAATTATAGATTCCCAGAAATGTTGGTTGGAATGGACGTCTGAAGATCATCTAGTTCTAAGTCCTGCTCAAAGTGGAACCAGCTCTAGACTTTATCATGGTTTTTTGGAGTTTCTGGGAAATTCCTCAATAACTGTGACAGAAATGCTGACATGAAATTAATGTTCTTTCTCACAGCCGTACCACAGCATCACTCTGGGGCCTCAACTCTTATCAGTGACTAAACTGGTCTGTTTGCAGTAATAATGAACCTGAATGTGTTGCTTCTTAGCTCCTTAATACTTGAAAAAACACTGCAAAAGCCTCAGAGGAAGGACAGTATGTATTAGAAATGTAAAAATATTATTGAAGCTGACATAGCAAACTAACGACACTAGTTTGCCGGAGGCTGCATGGCTCCCTACACATTGTGATAATCACAGTCCACACATCTACCTAATGTGTAGCTATGTCTGAAGAAACCTGACATGCACCCTCTGAATTCTCCAGAACTTCTGTATGAGCTGCCTTCACCACGCGTTACAGAAATGTATAGAGCCTGGTAGAAGCTCTCTTGTGTTGGTTGTATTACAAACCCATACAGAAACCCATTTCCTTCTCTAAATACCTTGGAGTTTAAGAAGTAAGCTCTCTTAGAATCATAGAATGGTTTAGGTTGGAAGGGACCTTAAAGATCATCTAGATCCAACCCCCCTGCCATAGGCAGGGACACCTCTCCCTAGACCAGGTTGCTCAAAGCCCCATCCAGCCTGGCCTTAAATACCTCCGGGGATGGAGCTTCTGTCTTATTATTATGCACCCTACTTAGGGTAGGGTGCATAATATATGTGGCTTTATGTACATTTGTAGCAAACAGGTATTCTGGGGGGGTATCCTCATATATCCTCATATGCTTCGAGTCATCTATATAGTTAATCAGATGATTTCTCTGAGTACTCGGTATGTTGGGTTTTGATACAGTTAATTAAACATATCTGTGTGTAAGTATATGTCACTGTGTATGACATTGAGTTCTACCTACCTCACAAATGTTTGTACAAGAACAGGAACTTTGCTTACTACACATTTGCTGAGATAGAAGATTAAATTATCTAAATACATTTTGTTGACTCAGTCTCTCATCTTCTGCAGTTAGCTTCAGATATGGAAAGAGCTACTGCAAGTAGTCCTATCAATTGCAGTTGGAATTACAGAACTAAAATAAATACCAGTACCAGTTGTTGTAATGTGGATATTGGCTTGATGTGGGTAGAGCAGCAGAGATCAATTAAGCGACCTAAGCAAACCACAGGGCAGTTAGATCTCTCTCTGGGTCAAGGTCTATTAGTTCACTCATTTAACCATTGTGTAGCCAAAGATGACAATACTTCTTGGACTACAGAAGTCCAATGGACTCATCTGTCAGAGTTGGAAGGAAGTTTTCTTATGAAGGGCTGTGTGGCTACAACTAAACAGACTTTATGCTGCTTGATCAAAATTAAAAAAAAAATTAAAGAGTTGGTGCAGTTTCAGTATTGTTGAAATATTAAAATCTGACGTGGACAGCTGTGGCTCAGGGCCAGGCCTCACCAGTATCTGGCCAATAGCACATTGATTTAACTGCACTGAAAAGTGGACCTTGGTTTCCTCCTCATTTGACCTCGTCCCTATGTGAACCGAGGGGATTTGGTTCCTTCAGGAGCCATTTCTAACACTGTGAAGACACAGGGAGATAAAACTGAGGTCTGCAGTGGAACCTAGCCATTTCCAGGCTTCTGCAGTACCTACCAACACGTGGGTCTCAGAGGCTTGCAGTTCTTTCTGCCTCCTCTGGTGCCTCCTGCTGTCCATCAGGAAGTGTGCTCTGAACTGTCCTGTTAAAAAAACAGTATGTCCCTCAGTTTGCTGCTGTTTGATATTCCAAAATACTAAAATCAATATTTCTCATCCTGTACTGGCTATTTCACTCTTTCAGAGCGTAAGCTCTAATACTCAGTGCATTTTCATGCATGGAATCTTGATAACCAGTAAACCATACTTGCTATGGCATACAACTTGCCATAGTTGCTATGATTTTATTACTCCAATTTAGTTGGATACAGTACCAAAATAATTTTGAATAAAGAAATTTTATTGGATTTAAATTTAAAACCTTTAAACAATTATCTGTTGCTGCCATTATTTATCCATTTAGGATATCTTGTACCATTTAGGTACAAGAACTGAAGGCCAGGAGAAAGGCTAGTGTTGGGGGTGTAAACCGAATGTCAAAAGATTTTGTGTTTCCTTTGTTCTTTCTGTAATTCTAATAAGGCATATTCGTGCCATTTGGATACAGAGCTGAAGGTTTACTTAAAACCCAACCCAGACAATCACGCTAGAAACTATTGTTTCTTCCTCTTCATAGCAGTGAAGGAAATTTGAAAAACAACGTTGTCCTTACTTTGTAGTCAGCACTTTCTGAATTTATTTAATGTGTTGAAAAGTTACATTGCTGGATTGTTGCTGTTAAAGCTGCTTGCACATCCAAAATGGAAGATAAATAACTATATACCTGGAACAGATTGTGAAGAGTGCAATCTTTTTCTCTAATCATCGTCCTTGTACCCTCTATTTTCATATCTTCTTCAGCACTGTGTACAGTCTTATGATTTCTAACCCCAATTTCCATTTGCAGCTAAACTCTATTTATAAAATATACAAAGTGCCCAATCCCAAGATCAGGAAAGCCTTTGGGATTCTTTCCACTGACTTCAACACAGATTGAATTAAGCCCCAAAAGAATGAATACTGAGTAGTTCCACAATGAAAAGACAGGCTCCGGGATTTCTGCCACCAGCTGTAGATAAAGCAGAACAATTGCAGCAGAAGGACTCCTTTATTACTGTCACTAAAGTAACAGTCCATGTCCTGTTGCCCTTCTGGGTCATATAGTGCTGGGAATACAGTGGTACCCATGGCATCATGCTACCCCTGGAGAGCTCGTGCTCTCCAGAGAAGCAGAGAGCTCACGCAGGCTGGGAGATAGAGTGCTGCCTGCAGGACTTAAACTGTCTTTTTATTTGACAATTTTCCAGTGTTTTTTGCAGAACATGAGGACAGGGAGCAGGTAGCAGCACCCGGTAAAAGTAACAGGCTTTAGCTGCATGAATCATGATGCCAGCATGACCTCAAGGTACAGAAAGTTGACCATACACTGTCATGCTCAGATGACATGGATAGGATAGGGTAGGGTAAGGTAGGATATGTGATGTCATCTTTTGTGTCCTCCTTCACAGCCCAGGTGAGAAAAATAGTATTGACAGACTGATAAGATAATTTGAAGTGACCTGTGGAGGCCATATGGTCAAACCTCCTATTCAAAGCATGGGTAGCTTCAAACTTAGTTCCTGTATACTGTATTCATAAGGAATGTTGTAAAAGATTGTGATCTGATAACATTGCACATGGTTACAAGCAGAGGAAGCATTCAGATTTCACAACACCTCAGTGACAACATGCTTATTCATGTGTTAAGTGAATCCCTGGCACCTGAAGGCATGCCCTGCCCTGGCCTTGTGAAATTCAGGTGGCTTTCATTACTTTGAATGGGAATATACTCCTGCACACAGAGCCTTATATTGAAATGGCTGGCATGGCTTGCCTGCTAAACAAGTGGACTAGTTCAAGCTTCTAAGGAGATTCAGTACGTATTTCTGAATCCAAAACAAGGCTAAACTGTCACACAATAAATGGGGCTGTTGGAGTGAAAGAAATGAAACAAATGACAAAAACTGAGTAAGGATCTCTTTTCACCTACAACATTTATGCGGAGCAAGCACTTACATATTGTCTGTCCTGAATTGTAATGTATGACCATACGATATAGTATTGGGAACATCTATTTAAACCAGAAAGGTATTTATCTGAAACCAAGACGACATCAAAATGAAAGCCTAATCATAACATCAGGACAAGACTCTGATTGGCAGCAACCAACATGGATTTATTAACAGCACTTCATTCCTTACCAAAATGATTGCTTGTCTGTGGACACTGGATGTTGTACACCCTGACTTTAGCAAGGCTGCTGGTGCGGTGTCCCGTAGTCTTCCTATCACCAAACTGATGACCTATGACGTGGATAAGTGCATGACAAAATAGGTGGAAAACTGGCTTAACTGATGGACTCAGAGTTGTGACTGGTATTCATGAAAGTGCTTCTGGAGTACTGAGTCCAGCTGTGAGATCTTCAGTACAAGGAAGATATTTACATAATGGAGCAAGCACCATGCAGGGCTGTCAAGATGTTCAGGGACTGGAGCACTGAGAGAACTGGGTCTGCTTAGCCTGGAGGAAAGAAGGCTAAGGAGAGACTTTGTTGCTGTCTACAACTACCTAATCAGAGGATACAGAGAAGATGGAGCGACCCTCTTCCTGGAGGTGTATGTCAATAATGTAAGATGTAACAGACACAGGTTGGAATATGGGAAATTCCAATTAGATATAAGCAAAAACTTTTTACCCTGACAGTACTTAAATACTGGAACTGGTTGCCCAGAACAATTGTGGCATTTCCATCCTTAGAGGTGTTCAAGACTTAACTGAGCGACTTGATCCAATTACATCTGCGGTGAGGAGGGGCTTGGACCAGAATATGTCCAAAGGTCACTGCCCACCTTCATTATTCTGAGTCTCTGATCAAATTATGCAGAAATACCTGAGCTGATGCTGAGCTCACTAATTCCAGGACAGGAAGCGCTGTAGCAGCATTACTATTGTACTGCTCCGTTCAGGCTTCTTGAAACTCAGAGCTGGTTAGCTTAGGTGTTGCTCCACATCCAAGTGACTATACTGTTTTGGAGATCCAAGCTAGTTTCATTGATTGCAGACACAGCAGCACGATCAGAGCTGATTTAGGAATCACTGCATGGCACTGCATAGTGTGATGCAGACACGTCCAGAATACAAATATAACTTCAACTCTACAACAGGATGCATGTGGTCAGACAGATTCACCATCTTAGAATGCCAGTGATTTATTGGAGTAGAAAACCTTCATTTTGATCTTTATCATACTGAGGAGAAATTACTCTGGGCATCATAGCTTTCAAATTAAAAATGAGAGTCTGTTAATTGAAGTTTTGAAAGTATTCTGAGATCCTTACATAAGAACTGTAAAACAAATTCTAGATTTTGTTATTCCAGACGTATAATAAAAATTAGAAGTAGAGAGCTTTTTCTGTGGCCTTATTTGTGTTTTTCTCCCCATAGCCATAAAGGGATGTTTTAACTGTCTATACACTTCTAAAAATGTATGTGTGCCCTAGATAATCAATTTGGTTTTTGAAATAACCTGTTCCTTAACCACTTTTTTAGCTCCTGCTCAATGATACAGATGGAAGTTTTAACTTTACCAGAATTAAAGGACTGGTTGGGCCTCCAGTGAGTATATACTGCTTTGTTAAATCTTCAGATTTTCTCTCCCTTCAGCGTCTCATTTTAAGTATCCGCGTCTCCTTTTAAGTATCAGCTAGAGCTGAGTTTCCTATGGTTTAGAATTCTGTCCTGCTAGCTTCAGAACTAAGCTCTGTGGAAGTACTTCAGGGTAGACCTGAATTCTGTGTGAATGTATCGCTTTTACACATTTGCATGAAAGAAAGGAACTGGCTTCACTCTGAATCTGAACTATGTGCTCAGAATGACAGAAATGTGGAACTGATACAAAAATGGAGACCAAGATTTACATAGCATTTCTTCCACTTTTTCTTCTGTTCTTGTTTTCCAAGTCATAAAATGTTGGGATTAGGTATTTTGCTCAGGTCTGCTTGAGACTGCAACTAGGAATGTTAGGCTCCTGTGTGTGAGTTTAGTCTCACAGCAATTATAGCTGTGGATTAAAAGCTGGAAATTTCAGGAAAGAACAACAGATGTGAAATTTCAGGTCCTGTTTTGCAGCTAGGAGTATAGCTGAAAAATAGTTCAGTTAAATATTTGAAATTCTGAGTGCTTCTTGGTAATATTTCAAATTCCTAGGACTGGACCCAAAAGGAAATTTACCTCTTCCAGGCTGTGGAGTCAAACTTGCCTGAAAGTCTACAATATATTGCACTTGGCAAAATTACAATACCCCCAAATGAAGCATCTTACTTCACAGCTAGTTTCATTTGTGGACTGTTGTTTGTGTGTTTTATTTTATCTATTTTATTGCTTGTGAGCACAGTTCTCTCCCTCACATTCAATTCCTGATGAAACAAGGAAGACCAGAATGTCTGTACCTGATAGCAGAATTTCACTCTAAATAGCCATAGTTTGAAAAAAACATTTATCATATTAATACAATTAATACAATCTTATTAATACAATGGTCCCCAAACAAATGTTTACTAAATCTGTCAGTGAACTGGGAAGAAGGACATTAGCTCCAATAACAGATTTTCACCTTTAGCTGTTAGCCTAACATGCCTCTTTTCCACTTGTCGCATGGTAGGATGACATCCTATTATTGTGGCTGCATCCAGCTATTCTTATGCTAAAACAGCTTTCATGGAAGAGTATTTTGGCCTGTTTCCTATAGACCTGATTCTCATAATCCCTGGACATACCAGGATGCCAGGATAGGATTGGCCCTCCTGTGTGAGCTGTGTTACTGCAGGTAGCTGCTGTTCAAGACTTAGGTGACAGATTCTCAAAACAACAGAGGAGAGGGCTCAGGACCCCAGCAGAAATGCATTGGTTTGTAGTAGTTGTTACAGTCCCAACAGAAAGAAGTAGGTCCTGTAGCTGGAAGTGCAGTTGCAATCAGAAAGGTCTTTGAACTTCAGTCTCTAAGCTCACCCTAGTCAGGAAAGAGGTGCAGTCAAGTGGCTCGGGTAGCTCAGGTGATCTGAACTAGAACTAAAGTGTCTCTCCGCAGATGTCGCAGTGGGGTAATCTTAAATACGCCTACTACAAATCCAAACACACGTTTCTATTTACAGCCTAGTGCACTATTTTCTATCCACAGACAACCAAGAGCAAAATGGCAAAGGCGGGAGGGCTACTGTGATCTCTGTGCTGGAATTTGGAAAAGAGTCAGAGCAATCTAAATTATGGTTGCATGCCTTTCTTGTTTGGAAAATGTCACCTTTCTTCAGCCTTTCCTGGATCTCTGTCCCTTCAATTTTGGAAAGTAAATGCTAATGTCCCAGAAAAAGTCAGAAGCATAGGGTGCTATGTTGTGTTCACAACTGTACCACTGCCTGAATGAAGTTCTTAATCCAGTTTCAGATGAGTTAATATTCACAAATTATGCAATACATGGAAAATGCATACTCTGTTTTGCAAATCCGTAACATGTGTTTGTAAGTGGGTGGGTTTTTTGAATTTTTCAGGGGCCAGATGGCAAGCCAGGTCTACCAGGATTTCCTGTAAGTATTATGTTCCTTGGATTTAAGTAATTCTTTTTCATACAGTTTAATATTTTAAAAATTTATATTGTACATAATTTACACAAAGGCTAATAAATTTTCATGTGGGAGCCTGTAGGTCTTAATGGAATCAACAGCTGTGGTAGAAATTAACTCTGCCAGAAATGAAGTATACTGTGATATGCACATCTTGTATTTCTGCTTATCTCAGAATCAGTTCTGTAGTTTAAATCTAAATGTAATTGACTCTGATGAAAAATTACTACTTAAGAAAAAGACCTATGCCATTTAGGAGAAAAATATGGAAGAAATGGGCTTTTTTGTCACGACTACAGAGTACAGTAAAACCCTGTGAGGTGTACCCTTTTTATTTTATCATTTAAGAAACATTTATTATGTTTTATAATAACATACCAGTGCCACCATGGAAGTATTGCACCAGCCATGGTATAAAAAGGTGCCTTACACTATGCTACCCAACTATTGTGCTCAGACTGCCACACTGTATAAACATTATCTGGCTTGTGACTTCATATAGAAATGTTTATACTATTATATTTATATTCTATATAATGTGACAGAATTTTTTTCCCTTGTTATGGTTGTTTTACAGCTCAGATGCATGCATATGGTCTCAGGATCCTTTGTCTATTGCCTGAGAATAACTAAAGAGAAAACTGGAAAAGCTGACAAATCATGTTGACAAAATGCTGGCAAATTGCCCAAAATTCTACAGAAGGTTGTTTACTAAGTCTGAGTATTGTGCACTGCATAGGAAGCCAAAGAAAGGGGGGAAAAAGCTCCTTAAAAATACTTCTCCTTTGAAAAAGAGCTGATAGCATTTAGAAAGTGATATAATGAATTCTTAGTCTCTCTGTCATTTATAGAATTTCTAAAGACGTGACAATACCATTCTTATTCTTACCTCAGGTCTTTTCTTTATCTCTTCACTAGTGCAGAAATCATGTAGACTTCAATTTAGTCCTTGGTGGGTAAAAAAAATATTTCTCAATGCACTTATAATGGAAGATTATAAAACAAAATGAGATCTGAGCGGAATGCTTTCACCACAGAACAGATACAGAAATTATCTGATTTTCAAATACATAAACTCTATTTCAGATAAAAATATTTTTTATTTAGAACAGAGAGTAGAGTAGGGAGGAAATAGAGAATTTTAGGCTGATTTTCCACTGTCATTAGTATTTGCATATTTCTCTTTGTGAATGTGTGTATCATCTACACTGTGATAAACATCAGGGGCTTTTTGTTCTGTTCTTTTTAACAAATTTTCCCTATATGATATTTGATTTAGGGAATACTTTGATTCAGACAGTAATTTAGTCTTGTAAGTGTTCTTAGATTGCAACCAGAGTGATCGAAGTTCAAGTTTTCCAATTATTTAAAATTACATTTAGTAAAATGGCCTAGCTCCATATTCTCAGCAGATCTCAGCATGGATTTATGGACTTCTTTTTGCTTAGGGCCCTCGGGGACCAAAGGGTGATACTGGTTTGCCTGGATCACAAGGACGCAAAGGACAACAGGTAAGAGAAAACACATAGGGAAATGTACATGCTGCAAAATATGTTAGATGACAAACACTTAGTGACATTGAAAGTTTAATGATTCTAATGTTACTAGGGATTGGGATATTAATAAGTTTATGTGAAAAATTTACTAAGTGGAAACTGAAAGAGTACTAAACAATATAATTTGATATAATACTACTGAAAGCTGGTGTTCCTGCCCCAGTGTTGAAATTCTGCAGCGCAGTATGCACTTACCAGAATAAGTTTGCGTAAATATTACACATGAGGTGACCTCTTCTTGCAAGTCTACTGTCTGTGCGGATACCTTGGATCCTAATTGAAAGGCCAAATGAAAAAGAATAACCTTCTCCTCCTCCTTTGGCACAGAGGGCTTTGCCTACAGAATGAAGACTGCAGTTTTCCATTCCCAAAGAAAGAGTTGGAGAGCTCTCTCCTTAGGATCCTTTCTCTTATTTCTGCACAACAGTGTTTATGTTGTAGAACTTCTGAGAGGTGACTAAGGATTGACTCTGCTATTTTGTAAATATTGCAGCTGTTGTTCTGTTTTTCTTCCCCTTCTTATCCACCTGCAGGAAGCAGGGGAGAGGAACATCTAAGTTATTACAATCTTGGGGATAACAAAAAGAAAAACAAAAACACTTTCTGCTTATTCTTTGTAAGTAGCTGACCTCTCTTTCTCACAAGTAAAAGGAAGGCTTGGAAATGGTTAATTATGGTTTGAAATGGGATTGTAGATGGACAGGATCTTCATTGCTTGGAAGGAAACAACTCAGGCCACCAATACCAGTCCTCTTTTGTCATAAGGATTCCTATTCTTATTCAGAGTGCATAAAATGATCAAGCTGAACCTTAAAACCAGTTGGGTGGGTTTTGGTTTGGGTTGGGGGAGGGGGGGGG